AGTCTGTAAGCTGGGCACCATGTGCATCCCACTGGGTTTGAAACACCAGTGGCTTAGCCTCAAAACTCACATCAACACATCACCACAGTAGGACAAACCAACAGACAAGTTTGTCTCCCTGTTGGAAACCTCTCCTACCACCCTTACCTGGGTCCCTGCGGGTGACTTCTCCTCTGTCCTGGTTCCTGGGCCTTTTAATCCCCTTTCTCCCACTCTCCCACCCTGCTGCTTTGGGCATGCCTGGGTTCCTTCTCCTCACTTGGATCCCTGCAGCTGACTGCTCCTCTATCCCGGTTCCAGGGCCTTTTAATCCCTTTTCTCCCTCTCTCCTACCCTGCTGCTTTGGGTGTGCCTGGGTTCCCCCTCCTCACCTGGATCCTAGCGGCTAATTGCTCCTCTGTCCCAGTTCCAGGGCCTTTTAAGTAAGCATTAGTTTCATTGTAATGGGGTTAAACGTACCACGGATTGTTAACAGAAAGAGATTGTTGCATAAAAATGTGTCTGTTGTCAACTTTGAAGTTATCCTTGTTGACTGCCATTGAGTCAGGGGCCCACTCCAGGGATAATAACTGATCTTCTTGTCTGTTTAGCCATCTCTCTCTATCAAACCAACAGCCAGCTGTTAATAACAAACTGCTTTCTTAAGGTCAGTGCTGAATCAGTGCAAGTCGGGAGAGTGAGTAACTCAGACAATATACTGTTTACAACACAAGGACCACAGCACATCCCTCAAAGCTGTGATAAGGAAGGGCCACCGGCAACTCCCAAGCAGAGTCCAGTTTAATTAAATGTACCCATGAGGCCACATCTCCTTAACGATGTAGAAATTGATGCCCTTTCTTTTCTGCTCCTTCCATTTCCTATGATGTAGATGCTCTGAACCTCCGAAACCGACAGGTCATCTGCGTCACGCTCAAGATCCTCCAGCATCTGGTTGTGTCTGCTGAGATGGTGGGTGAAGCGTTGGTGCCCTATTACCGTCAGATCCTCCCCATCTTGAACATCTTCAAGAATATGAATGGTGAGTTCTCTCAGGACCCTGAAAAGGAAGAGTCTTACAGTAGAGTGAATTAGC